CTAATTGGAGGATATGTTTTAACACATTATAAAACAAAAGTCTTTAAAATAACAGTTATGAGTAAAAACCCTATGATCAAAATTTATCAAACCATCAAATAATTGAACCTGTCTAAAATTGCCTTCAAGACAAAAATTCTCTAAATACAACAAACCCTTTCTTCAGAAATCTGAAAATTTGAACTCTGAAATCTTGAACCAAAATTTGGACAATGAATTTTTAAAGGAAGATGAATTGCAGCTGCATAAAAGATTGGATAAAGAAAACACATGAGTAGTTAAAAAATCAGAAACACAGGATCCTGAAAAAACATCTTGTAATCAATCACCTAAAGAGACAATAAAACATATGAAACCTGACTGTAAATACTACAACAACACCTTAATACCTTAATAATAATTCTTAACACAAAAATCAGACAACTCACATTATATGATCAGCTTATCAACAAGAAATGTTTAAAATAGTTTAAGACAATCCTTTTAAAGCATTCATATAACATTAGTAACAATCACTAATTATCATTACGTACAAAAACTTAACAATAATCACTATTTATCTTATTATCTTAAAACTTAAAAATCATCATTATTTGTATTATTATCTATAAAAACCCAAAAACAAAAATCAAAAACTTAATACCAACATTCCATCTGACTGACTTTTCTCAAATCTTTGTTTTCAGAGATATTTTTGGTAGTTAAATCATTAGTAATACTTCTATCTTTATACAGTGATTTCCATCTATATCGTATTTGAAATAACATTGATTCACATAATGGTCATCCTTCTTTGTATCTTGGAGAACACTCGGTACTGCTGTACTTTTTTGCGTTTTTTGACTCTTGTAAGGAATTGGAAAAGTGCCGTTGAAATTTTTGCTGTGGTGTTGCAATCCCGCCACCGGTGGCGCTGCTGCTCTCGGAGTTGCCATTGCCGTGGTAACCAGGACCGTGCAGCCGTCTCCGCCGCTATTGCTGGGTGCTGCGGGGGCCACGCGCGCGGGCGCGCTGCCGCCATGGCTGCGTTTGCAGGGAGATGAGGGGGCGGCGCCACCTCGCTCCCGTCCTTGCTGCGTCACCTTGGGGATGTGAGAAGAGACACCCCCGCCATGGCCGCGCCCCGCCTGCTCTGACTCCAGCGCAGCCGAGCCCACGGGAACGCCCGTCTCACCCCTGGCGCTCTTGCTCGGCAACAAGGAACCTTCCGTCTCTCCGCCGATGTCCGCCCCACCCCGGGGCCGCCTCAGGCTTGGTGCCAGCCGGCCCCGCTCCTCCTGGCCCCGCGCCTGTCGCTTCTGCGCTCCGCCCGGGCGGCTGGCTGGTGCTCGCCGCCACAGCCTTCTGCCTTAGTTCTGCCAACCTGTTTCGCTAGGGATGAGGAAGGGCTTTCTGTAACTTTGCTTTGTCTTTTGCCCACAGAGTCAATTGCTCTAAAATTGGACTGTTCTTATCTTTTTCCCTCTCTCGGACAGGATATGAAAGCAGCTGCGGCGCTCTTCCTAGGACTCTCTGTATACGTCCCCTTTCTTTCCCTTTGCGGCTTACCTCCACCTCCGTGGGGCACTCGGTTCACTTTACTCGGCGTGGCAGCACCTCCGCTCCAGCTCCCGGCCCCAGCCACGTCCACGCCCGCCATTCGGGCTTCTCGTGAACACCGGGGTCTTTTTCTCTGCTCCATTGGGCTCCCGCAACCAAACAGAAATGCGAAAAGCCTTTTTCTCCTGTTGTGAACAGCACGATTTAGAGATCCTGGAGACTTTTTCTCCGTTCTCCTGATCCTCGTTCGCTAAAAGTGAATTTAGGACCCCAGCCCCGTTGGTATAAAGCGATGTGGACCTGATTTTCGTCGCGCGATTCAAACTCTGCTCCCTGTTACCCTAAAAGTAATTTGGGAGCTTTTCAGAGCATCCTGGGTCCCTGGTCGGGCACCACTTAAAGCCAGGGACCTCATAAATCGGGAAAGCTGGACAGGACAGAATGCACATCCAACCAATATGATTAATGCAATGTTCTCCCCTTTATTAGTGAGAAGATGGCAGTTTTTATACACTTCTATATAGTTTACAGTTTACAAAGGCACTCTGATTGGCACCCTAACATTGTTTACCTTCACCTTAAGGTGGTCAGGCTTTTCACACTGTAGCCCTACTCTAATTTACGCTCGGATAGCTGATTACTTTGTAGTTACCTTAACCTAATTTCTAACTGCGCCACAACTGAATTCTTACTGCATCAAAGGCTTCTAGGCCCCGTCAAGGCTGCTTATCAGGGCCTAGTCTAAGTGGGTAGTTCAATTCTCACTCCAGACATAAATCATGCCCTCTCTCTCTCAGAAATTCTGTAACACAACACCCTGATGCCACCACTCCTTGCTGTCTCCTTAACAACTGAGAGGAAGAATCACTGGACTATCATGTGGCTGATGTGTGAGGTGCATGGTTTTGAACTCGTGCCTATAGCTTACAGGGCCTTTAGTGAACTGTCTCAGGAACTCCCATAAGCAAAACTAAATCCACTCCTTTGATATGTGCCCCTTCCTAAAGGCTGAAGAAGGTGGGATGCAGAAGCCCACTCAGGGCTACAGGAACATCTGAACTTTGCAGGAAATTCCTGCATGACACAAACCAGGATTCCAGTTACAGAGTTAAAGCTTCCATGAAATTGCCCTAGGCAGAATGATCTGCTCCAAAATATGACAGACCTCTCAATGTGCTTAAAAATAGTGTCCTACTCAAGCACTTTATTCTGCAAGTCTGAGCTTTTAGAAAACCATGGAGTTCAGTACAGATACTGAGACAAAACAGGGTGATGTTCTGTAATGGAAAACCCCCTTGGACAAAAACATCATCAACTGATGGATAGCAAAATGTGCTGGTGGTGATGTGCTACTGCACAACACTTCACAAGAGCTTCAAAGAAAGAAAGAAGATCTGGCAAAACAGACATGGGAACATTATTCCAGAGCACTTCCAAAACCTGAGAACAGCCATCATTTCACCAGAAAGGAGGACTGGATGAAGGCACACATGTTCACCAAAGTGGGGAGCACCATATAAGTGTTAAAAACTTCAGGGATGGATCAGGCAACCAGCAGTTGATGCTTCAGGTTTTAACTTTGATATTTTTCAGATTCTGAGCTGTTTTAATGTATACTTCTGAGCTCCATATTGAGGGATAGTGAGCTCTCTTCACAGAGTAAGTAGACAAAACAATTCCTTCTCTAGCTGGGGACCAAAGACAAAAGATCCAAATCTCAGGCCCAAGAGCACAAACAACATGGACTGAAGAGAGAACACAAGAAGGATGGGACTTCGTAAGCTAAGGCTATAACTGGACAATTAACTCCAATATGCAAATTGACCAAAACGTATAAAAGTGAGAGACCTTGTGACTGGTTGTCCATTTTGTGACCATTTTTGTTCATCTTGGGTGTAGCCCTGGCTGGGCTCTTATACTGTCCAAGGTGGATCCATTGAGGCCTTCTAATAAATCCCTACTTTATTCTTCATCACTGTTTAGCCTCTGTTCTAGGCCAGACATCACAAGGCATCACAGTCATTAAACATAGTGGGTAGCAATATCAGTTTACAACTTGGGAGCAAAACTGAGCATTTTGAACCTATCTGCAGTCTCAGTGCTTATCTGTGGCTGTGAGAGCAGTTGAGATGGAAGATGTTAGAAACCAAACATGTCTGAAACACTGGAGAAAGTCACCTATGCACAGCTGAAACAAACCAGGAAATCCTCTTGCAGCAATTTGTATCAATCAAAAATAAGCATGAGACACAAGAGGATCCTGTTTGAGCTGATAGCAAGCACAAATTAAGCCATGTTACTTTAAATCTCTTGCATTACTGCTAAGTTGTGAGACTTTACATTTGCTGACAACCAAGGGATGCTGCAAGTATTATTACCATTGCATACACTGACATAAGGCACAGAAACTTCACCAAATGCAGGGACCTGAGCACCACAAAACCTGCAGACAACTCCGCCCTGGGCAGAGAACAGCTCTGAAAGTAAAGAAACATTAACTTAATCCTGCTTTCCCTTCCCCAGCATAGTTGTGTGGGATGACAGACATTGTTCAGGCACAGAACCAAGGATGAATGCCAAAAAAAACCAAATTGCAAAATGAAGAGACTGACTTCATTGAGGATTCATAAGGCATAACAATACCAAACAGAAGTTTTTCTCTTTTATGCTTCTATAGCATTAAACTCATTTAGAAAACTGAAGTAGATTATGCTTTCCAGATAAAAGCACCATTGTAGTAATTTGGATGCAGAAGGGCTTTATTCTGCCAACAATACCATCCTTTCCTTGCAGAGCAGGAGCCCTGAAACATGAGCCCCAGCTCTGAATGAGAGCACAGGGCTCATTCAGAACCTAGGGGCTGCACTCCCCACCCAGAGCCAGCAGAGAGATCTGCTGCTGTGGAGGAGGAGACAAAATCACCCACCCTGACAGCTCATGGGCAGGGTCACTTCTCAGCCAGCTCCAGAACAGCTGAGAGGCTTCACAACAACATCTACCAGTGCAGCTGGGAGGGCAGGCTGGAAAAAGCTGGAAAAACAAGGGTTACTCCTTGAGAAATAGAGGTATTTTGGTGGCCTGCTTGTAAAAGTAATACACTTCTTTAAAAGCATAAGACTAAAGACCAAGGAAAAGCAAGAGCTTACATCAAAGCCAAATGCTCCACTCTGTCTTCTCCCAGGAGGGAAGCAGAGATAGCCCGTCACAGATCTGAGTTTTGACACATAAGAGGAAAAACAGAGAGTAAGCTGTTTTTACAGAAATGACAAATTCAGGACAAGGCTGAATTTCAATCATAAATCTATTTTTTAAAGGTATTAAGGAATTCTTGTAAACAAAATACTCCTTGCTCCTACTTGCTACTATTTAATAGCAAATGAATTTTTTTTACTTCCTTTCCTTTAAGCTGCAAAAGCACAGACCAGCTATGAGAAGAAATGGCAGTGTGAATTATTCCATACCTGCTCTCATATTACTTTGGGAAAAGTGAAACTCGTCCAGTACTGCAAACTGCCATAGGTTTTCCTTGCAAGTCTTTTAGAGTCAGTCCTTTGAGACAGAAGGTCTTAGGGCTGCGGACAAAACAAGAAAAATACACCTCCTAAAGGCTTCAGAAAGAAGAAAGCAAAAATATATAAAAAAGTAGGGTGCATTAGCTTCTGAATTTTCTGATCTTAGGCACTTGACTCATGCTTCTAAAAGTTACCTTAAGGCCAATGACTTTGCACTTAACAACTTCAATGAGAGTTTTTTTAAAAGCTCCATGTCCAGAAAACGTTTTTTTTTTCTTTTTTTAATATTTACAGAGCAGAACAGAAACCTTACATGAGCCAAAGTCCATAGAGCCTGAGTAAAACTACAGGTTACACCTCCTAAAAGAGGAATGTGTTTGACTTTCACCAGCCTACAGATGTTGTATCAGCAGTCAGCTGAACGTTTCCTTGCTAGTGAGATCACCTCAGATTAGAAACATTTTGGAAAATAAATTTAATCTCTGCTGTCAGCATCACAACAGAAACTAAAGAAGCCAAAATAAAAATTAGAGACACACAGAAAAAAAGGCAACCCCCCAGTCCTAACCTGTACTTTAGGACCACCAATGCTGCACTGACAAATAACAACACTGCACTACCCCAACAGGTACCTCCCTGATCACACTTCACCAGAGGTGAACTCCTAATCAGTTTGCTGATCATGCTGAAAAATAATCAGCATGATTATTTTTCTGACATTGTTTGTGAAGTCAGAAAATAGGAGGCCCTCAATGATGCAAACTGCACCCAAAGAATACGAGCAAAGCTATAATCCTAAATGATTTTGGACAAGAGAAGGACTTGAAAGAACTTAATATATATTTTCTTAGATAAATATTATTTAACAAATTTCTTTATCAATATAGGTTAAAAGAAGCGCATTTGCTGTGGTATACATCACATAGAACCATCAAAAACAAAGCTCTATATAGCCCTGTGTGCCTGGTGTGCTGATTTTTATGAGCTTTAGCCTGATTTTTGAGTAACAACAGCTGTGCACTTAACAACCTTCCTCTCTTCCTGCCATGCTTCAAAGTGCCTCACTCGCAGAACTGATACAGTGATAGCACAAACCACCAGGGAATCCCTGAATTCTTCCATTCCTCCTGCCAGGATATCCATTACTTTATGAGTTGGTTTGTTGTTGGGCTTTTTTTCCCTTTGGTGTTTTTGAGGTTTTTCACAGAATACCAAGTTCTGCATAAGTTTTTGTGATCTAAGAACAGAACCTGCCTGCCCTACCAGAACACTTTGACATGTCAAACTAAAATTGCTTCCTAATTTATCAACATCCAGCTCAGCTGGAAGCGAATAAGTTTTCTGTACATATATGTAAATATATTTGCACCAATGTAGATATAATCCATGCATGATTTTGATCTAAATCCACTCGTCATTAATAAATAACTCACTAAAAATGTATTAGTCTAAAAAAATTTAAGGGCAAAAGGAAAAAAAAAGGAATGAGAATAACACTAGACTTCTAGGTTTTGGTCATTTTTCTTATTACACTCTCTGCCTCAAATCCCTGTTATCTGTGTAAGGACCTTTCCACCTGAAAGAGGGTTTGGGAAGACTTCAATGCTGAGCACCATTATCCTATGTGACTTTTTAAAAGTAACTTCCACCCTTCCTTTTCTCAGTGACAGCTGTATCCTGGGGTAACACTAGGTTCTTTCCAAAACAAATGTGGCATAGCTGCTATAATTTATCTTCACAGCTCATAGCTTAGAGTTACAGACAGAAAATATACTTAACAAGGGAATATTTCCACTGTGTGTTTCCACATGCTGGAAGTTTTCCTCAGTTGCAGGGAAGATGCTGCGAATTGCCTGAAAAGGTTGGAGCAGCACTACCAAGTGACTAAACCCACATTATGTTTCTCTGCAAAATTTGGAGGGATACAGCTAGTTTTGGTGAGTTCTCCAGCTTCTGCAGCAGGAAAAGGCTTCTGCAAGTGTGAATTAACCAACCATAGGCAGAGGAAAAGGCTTATGCAAGTGTGAATTAACCAACAGAGAGCTGCAGGAAGGTTTGGCTGGGCTTTTCTAAGAAATTACCTCATTAAATCCCTGCAGTATATGTCCTAGGTTCAGAAGATTTCATAAAACAAGAGTCAGAAAAGGAGCAGCTCTTGCACATAACTTTTCTCTGGGCTCTGGCACAGGCTGTCTTTTAGGGGTTACAGCATCCCTCCAGCATCTCACTTGAAGACTTGCTTACCACATTTCCTTGCAAATGCTAAGATGTAAGGAAGGAAATAATTATTGTAGCTGCTTGGGAATTGTTCCACAAACTTATTTCTAGCTGAGATTTCTAGTTTACATAAGTCTTCAAACATTTTAACACATTCTGAGATTTACTCTGAAAAAAAAGATGGATTCCTGAAAAACAGCTGTGGGCTAGAAGAGCTGTTTCCATCTAGCACTGGTTGAGTTATTAGGCTAGCAGTGAAAGAGAGAGACACCATGTTGCTCTCAGGATCCAAAGGCTTCTTCTATCACACTAAGATAAAAATGTATAAACATCAACAACATGGAATACAAGTTCTTTGTTTTTCTTTCCCTAATGAACTCTGCAAAGAACGCAACATACTTATGCCTCCAAAAGAAACTACTATGCTATCAGAGATACTAAAAAAGCTGTTCTTTGGATGGAACCCATCGCTGCAAATGCTGTTACAACAGCTTCCATACTGTCACTTCAGCAACTGCCCCGCATGGGAAAAACATATTTCTTCTAATTAGGCAAAACTCTAACACCGCATCTGAAGAGTATAATTTGGTCTTTTCTCTAGAAACTCATTAACCACTTCAGTTCAATTATTAATATTTGCATTAATAACTCACTGAATTAACTACCCATTTTGTGAGTGCAGCTCCTGCTTTGGCAGGATGATGCTCTGAGGACATTCCACTGGGGACGTGGTGTGGGCCATGTCCACCTAAGAAACTCCTCTGAATGTTGCAGAAATGTAGTTCCTGCCTCTGGGGCTGCTATCAGCTTACCAAATGGCTTTGGACAGCTTATCCAGTTTTCCTTTCCTTTCTACATCTGTTTAAGACAGTCAAACCATGAGCAGGGACTTCTCGTTCTCCTCCTTCCCTCCCTCCAGGACTAACAAAGTGCCCAATACAAGGACACCAAGGTAAAAATTGCAGTAATAACTTCTGTCAAGGGTGGTAGGTATTAGTACTCAGCTCCTGATTCTGGGTCTGTTACCATGAAGCTCCCAACATGAGAAAAAAAAAAAAAACTAAACAACTTCATGCCTAGGTAGTGTTTAATGCCACAATTATTCATGCTAGGGCTCCCACAGGGCCCAGAACAGCAAGAAACCTACTGAAAGCTGAAGGGGTTCTGAGATAAACCCAAACTACGCTGATTCCTTGATGGAAACCTTTCATAGTAAAAGGAATCCATGATTTATTCAGTAAGAAACAGGTTTTCTAGCAGTGTTGTAAACACTGAACATGCAGACATGCTTGCACCTGGCCTCAGTTATAAAATGAGATGACTTCCAAATCCCGGGCACAGTGAGATGATAAACAGTACAGTCTTTCACAACCAGAAATGTATTTTCAGAAAGCTATTTTCTCCCAAAAGCTCCACAATTTGAAAGTAAAAAGGGAAGGGAAGTTCTGGGAAGGGAATGGAAGGGAAGTTCTGGGAAGAGAAGTTCTGGGAAGGGCAGGGAAGTTCTGGGAAGTTCTGGGAGGGAAGTTCTGGGAAGGGAAGTTCTGGGAAGTTCTGGGAAGGGAAGTTCTGGGAAGGGAAGGGAAGTTCTGGGAAGGGAAGGGAAGTTCTGGGAAGGGAAGTTCTGGGAAGGGAAGGGAAGTTCTGGGAAGGGAAGGGAAGTTCTGGGAAGGGAAGGGAAGTTCAGGGAAGGGAAGTTCAGGGAAGGGAAGGGAAGGGAAGGGAAGGGAAGTTCAGGGAAGTTCAGGGAAGGGAAGTTCAGGGAAGGGAAGGGAAGGGAAGTTCAGGGAAGGGAAGTTCAGGGAAGGGAAGTTCAGGGAAGGGAAGTTCAGGGAAGTTCAGGGAAGTTCAGGGAAGGGAAGTTCAGGGAAGGGAAGTTCAGGGAAGGGAAGGGAAGTTCAGGGAAGGGAAGGGAAGGGAAGTTCAGGGAAGGGAAGGGAAGTTCAGGGAAGGGAAGGGAAGGGAAGTTCAGGGAAGGGAAGTTCAGGGAAGGGAAGGGAAGGGAAGTTCAGGGAAGGGAAGTTCAGGGAAGGGAAGGGAAGGGAAGGGAAGGGAAGGGAAGGGAAGGGAAGGGAAGGGAAGGGAAGGGAAGGGAAGGGAAGGGAAGGGAAGGGAAGGGAAGGGAAGGGAAGGGAAGGGAAGGGAAGGAAGGGAAGGGAAGGGAAGGAAGGGAAGGGAAGGGAAGGGAAGGGAAGGGAAGGAAGGGAAGGGAAGGGAAGGAAGGGAAGGGAAGGGAAGGGAAGGGAAGGGAAGGGAAGGGAAGGGAAGGGAAGGGAAGGGAAGGGAAGTTCAGGGAAGGGAAGTTCAGGGAAGGGAAGGGAAGTTCAGGGAAGGGAAGTTCAGGGAAGTTCAGGGAAGGGAAGTTCAGGGAAGGGAAGGGAAGGGAAGTTCAGGGAAGGGAAGTTCAGGGAAGGGAAGTTCAGGGAAGGGAAGTTCAGGGAAGTTCAGGGAAGTTCAGGGAAGGGAAGTTCAGGGAAGGGAAGTTCAGGGAAGGGAAGGGAAGTTCAGGGAAGGGAAGGGAAGGGAAGTTCAGGGAAGGGAAGGGAAGTTCAGGGAAGGGAAGGGAAGGGAAGTTCAGGGAAGGGAAGGGAAGGGAAGGGAAGGGAAGGGAAGGGAAGTTCAGGGAAGGGAAGTTCAGGGAAGGGAAGGGAAGGGAAGGGAAGGGAAGGGAAGGGAAGGGAAGGGAAGGGAAGGGAAGGAAGGGAAGGAAGGAAGGGAAGGGAAGGGAAGGGAAGGGAAGGAAGGGAAGGGAAGGGAAGGAAGGGAAGGGAAGGGAAGGGAAGGGAAGGGAAGGGGAAGGGAAGGGAAGGGAAGGAAGAAGGGAAGGGAAGGGAAGGGAAGGG